TTTTCTCTTAAACGGCTCTTTCTAATGATTAAACAAAATAGTTTCTTGTATCGTGTTTTAACTTTCCTGCTTTCCTTCCTTTCCGTTTGTTCTTTCACGATTTAATTTCTCTTCTTTACTTCCTTTCTCACGTTTGTTTATCCCTTCACTTACATCTATTTCTTCCTGTCACCTGTCTTGCAAATTACACACATGACTATTCGAAACATGGCGGGTAGGAGGCTGTACTGATGATTCCCACTCCTACCCGCATGCACTGTTCGGTCTGTGCATACAGCTTTGGGAATGAAACACAGACTGCGTCATAAAATGTCTTCAAACACATGGCATTCAAGTGAAATTCTTCTATTCTTCTACTTAATGCATAAAGAGTACTTGAAAGCAGCGCCTACTTCCTGCAAAGATTGCCTTACGATTTTTTTTTTTTGTAAAAAATAAATTGGCTGTTGTAATTGCGTTATGAGTTTACATTGAAAGCGAAAAGAAGGCATTGCTGAGGAGTTATTTTCGCACTGGCTGATTCGAATTTCGGCTTGACTGAGGAGTTACTTCCATTATTTGTCAAATGTAGCACACACGTTGTGTATTTTATTAACATACAGCGGATATGGAAGAGAGGTGCAAATAAATGAGGGAGAAAAAGTTGGGTATATAAAAAACGATGGGATTTTTAAAAAAAAAAATTTTTTTTTCACATGCGACACTTTTTTATCGGGGTATTCTAGCTTTAGAATCATCTTTTACTATATGTTTGAGCGCCATGAAAAATTTACAGTGGCTAGAACCCCTAATTTATGAATATTTGCCTGTTTCCAGTTTTTAGCTCTGCTAAAGATTTCCTTTTTTGTCGTTCTTTTTTATGGATAAAACTGATGTTGTGGATTAAAACTGCTTGTCGGGAAGGGATTTTTTTATTTTTCGATTTGTTAGGTCTGTTTGAGCTGATGTAGCATTTTTCAGGTCTGTACGTTGCAAGATTCAGCCAGATATGAAGGTTCGCAGTACAGCTGTAATGTAAACTATGGTGATCAATGATAGACTGATTTTCTCAATTGAAGCGCGTCTCGTTCATTCTGCACAGAAACGGGGATAAGTGGATTTGAATCTGAATATGGAAAGCTACGATAGCAGCCAAGACTAGTGCTATCATGCATAGTGGTAATAAGTTCCAGGTTTGCACACACAAATGGAAATACCTCAGTAAGCAAAAAAAGTTCCTAGGCACTGATTTTTTGTGTTTCGATAAGCCACCGTTCCTTAACTTCACCGGCAATGCCATTTGTGCCTTCCCCTTTTCTGGTTTTGGATGGATATTCAGCAAAACGGGGAATAAAGGCATGCTTAATTCTTTTGAGATGTTGTGCTACTGGAAATGAACGATGAAATGTTTTGTTTTGTAGCCTCTGTAATTTTCAATCAACTCCCAGCTGTCGAATTAATGAAAAGTTTGGTTATTTCTTATAAAATTATTATTCATTCATTGGGGTCATCTCAGGAGAAAATTTGTGTGACAAAACTGTTGAAGAAAATGCTTCGGTAAAGTTAAATTTGTGCAAAAAATTTTTAAAATTAATAAGAATTTCGAATTTTACTTGGAAAATGTTTGCTATGCACCCATCATTTGCATGTTCCAGGGACCGTCTTAAAAGGCTAAAGGTTTCTAATTAGATTTTATGCATTTTCTTATACGTTACTGGGTCATTCTATATTGGGTCACATTTTGTTTGGGGATATAAATTGATGCTGTTTTTGTGGAAAAAGTAGAGCACATTTCAGTTTCGTAGTAAGGAAATGTTTTTTGAATTTATTAATTTTGTGTTTTTTTTTTTCTTGCGCGTTTTGCGTTATAACAACACTTGCACAAAACACATATTGTAACGACCCTGTCCGTTTGTGTGCGTACATATGTATATATGTATGAATGTGTATGTTTATTTGTATGTATATATGTGTGTTTGCGTATCCATGCACATGTGTTGTGTGCGGGGTTTTCAGCTGAAGAACCAAAAAAGTTCGGAAGTTAAAAAAAATTTCTCGCAAATTTAAATTCAGCTTTCACGCACCCCTAGGTTTTACGTATGGCTAAGTGAAAGTTTTGGCGAGGAATTACTAGCTCGAGACCAAAAAAGTCAGGAAGCTGAAATTTTGGGAGGATGTTTCATTTGCCCATGCGCAACCCCGCATATGGAATTTAACTTCGGCATGTGCCTAGATCTCACATTTGAAATTGTTTGGCGAGAAATTTTCTGAGTCGGAAATCAGACAAAACACAGATAGCAGATATTTTGTAAGGATATTTCCTCTTCACTACGAGCATGTAAGTTTGCCTCAACCAGATAACACTGAAAGTTGAAAATTTAGGAAATTTACTTTTTGTTTATGTACAATCCTGAAATTTTGAATCCAGTTTTCATGTCCACGTAATTTTCGCATCCAGATCCGTAAAACTCGTTTTCTTTTAATGTACAATCCTATAAACTTAAATTCAACCCTCATGACTATGTTTTGCATACGGACACATGAAATTTTCGTTGGGAAATTCCGTAGCTTAGCAACCGCACAAAATATCGATCATTTGCATAAACACCGCAGCATGAAATTGTGAAAATTCTTAACAACAAACAAGAACAACACATAATGCATGATCACATCAGCTGCCCTGGCACATGCTGCCGTTTATCAAGGTTTTCAACTATTATCAGCATATTTATAAGTGAAAATGCGTCGAACTTATAGAAAATTATATGACTGAATAGGTCAGTTTAGCAATCTTTTTGACAGTCTCTTTGCTTTTCTTGAAACTCTTTTGGGTTTTGTTTGTGTGCTTTGTTTTATTTCATGCAAATTATGTATGTCATGTAATTCATGTAACATTGAACTGACGTTTTGTGAAGTCCTGTAGAAAAATAGATTTTGATCTGTAGATTTATAGTAACTTTGCTAGGGTTTGCTAGGAATTCAGTTAAAATTAGCTGTTTAATGCATATTAGTTAATCGTTTAAAGGCGACATGAATTCTAGTTTTTTTTTTTTTTTTTGTATTTTTGCGAATTAAAAGTTTTATTTAAAAAATTTTGATATATCTTTAAACTAAGCTCAAAATCGTACAATGATTGGTATTCTACAGTCTGAGTCGCGCCTTTAGAAGTATTTTATAAAATGTTTTGACCGCATATTTTAGTTTCTTAAGCAGCCATCGCTTCGCTTCTTCCCGGTGTTTCCCCGTGTTAGTGACAAGACTAGAAACCCTTTGCCTGTTCGTGGTACTCCATCCGACGGCATCTTCCCGGTGGTCTTGGCTTTCACTACTTAGTTGTTCTATCCCTTTATTTTGTACGAAAAAAATTCGTTGTTTATTACGCCTTCTTCCGCTCTCTCGGTGGATCATTAGCTCAACTGTTAGCTTTACTTCCAGCACATGTTTGAATCATCCGTAACCAGTGGAAAGTTGATTGTGCAGATGTTTTTGCAGTCCGGTTGTTGAACTGCTTTTTCAGTTGCTGAACATCTTTAAGCTTTTTCAGCTCAATTTACTGTGAATAAAATATTGTTATATTACATTGGTTTTTTATTTTGTCATCCATGCTGTACATTCAGATTTATGAAATTTCTTATAAAATTTTTTTCTGTTTTTAGTTGTTAACCAAACACTGGTTTTGTACCTTTTTTGGGCACTTGCTGCCACTGCATTACATCTTATTAAAATTATTAAGATCTCTTGGATCGACGACCCAATGCAGGTGATGTTGCTAGGATATTTCCACCGACCGAGCACATCTGTATTGAGCTGCATATCTCCTCTTAGAAAGCAAAAATTGGCCAAAGCACGGGCTGCCCGTGCGAAGATGCGTTTTTTGCGTGATTCCCCGCAGTTATTGTTGCCACCGGCACCGATTTTTCGGCAAATGTTTCTAGTTAAACAAATTAAGACTGGCCGCCAGGACTGTCAGGAAACATCCCTTAAAATTTCAGCTTTCTAGCTCCCTTCGCCCCTGAGTTAGCAATTTACTGGAACAAAATTTTCACGGGCCCGTGCATGTTTATCAAGCATACCTGAGGGCTGGGTTTGAGCTGAATGAATCTTGGGTGGGCGGGGGATATCCTCTTAAATTACATTCCTTTAGCTTCTCAGGTAATTGAGTTATCAATTTACACGAAAAAAACTTTGGCGGG